ATTCGTTACTGATAGATTGATTTTAGCAGTAAGGCATATTTCGCTTGGTGTGCAAGATGAATGAATTGGTGAAGGTGCCCAAAAGTACAGTATGTGCATTTCACACCGAAACTTGTAGGGCAGATTGAATTCATAGTAGTATTAGAATAGTAGTTATTAGTAAAATTAATTAATACATTGATACTTTGTTAATTGAAATTTTCTTTTAAGTAAATTTAAATAATAATAACATATCTGATTTTGTCCACTCTACTCGTTGTAAAAAGAACAGTCGATGTTATACCGAATTCGAATAGGACAACGGGCGGCGAACACTTCAAGATGAAGTCTACCGCGCAGAGTGACTGCAACCCTGCAAGCACATTATTTACAAATACCCACTGGAAAGTTCGATGACTGGATAACTGGGATCCAGATTGCTGCCGCAGCGGCCATTTATTGGCTTGGTATTTTGGATATAGAACTGATAAGATGTTATTCACCCTTCCCCCTCAGCCATACAGTAAAGAATTTGCACTACTTCAGTTGGTTGCAGTAGAATGCAGTAACGTCATGGTCAGAATTACCTTTAATTTCGACATAATTGCGCGCTTATTTGTTCCTAGGTCTGATGACAGGATTCGGAAGGCAATACGTTGCGCTAAGAAATTGTCAAAAATTGAAACAAAGCAAAATTATTTACTATTTTAAATCAGGGGTTTTGGTTTGTTGTCTTACTGATATGGTTATCACCTTCTGCGTGATGAACGCGCTAATTATTCCGCAATGAAGCCTTTCCGGTTGAATAAAACGGTGATGCTCGACACTAGTTAGTGAATCCTACCGCGACCACTGCCTCACCAAGCTCCTCCCTTCTGAATCTCAATGGGTTGATTGAAAGATGTTGAAGAAGAATGCTATAGTTCACGAAGGTTGGCGTACGGAACAAACTACTTATGAAACTTCGAAATACATTATGCACGGGAGAATATCAAGGCCGTAAATGCAGGCTATCGCAGTCGCTTGCCAAAATCTTGGATTACTTACGACCCGATGATATTCAGAAAGCGATTGGCAAATTGCAGATGGATTTAATCAAGACCTTCGTGTCTAGCCACAACATCATAACTGTCGTCAGATGTGTTTGTCGACATCTTCATCACCGACGTGAAGAAGATTAAAGCACATGACATGTCCTCGGCGTGTGCAAAACCCAAAGATTCACTGGATCTTTCCCAAAATGAAACAACTGTGATAAAATATTCCTCGTGAAAGCGTACAATGACAGGGGTCGGACAGGCGGTGTGTGTTTTGTCGCAAAATGAGAGCTATACCACTCGTAGTCAGATGTGTTCTAATGTCATCGCTTGTCATTGTAATGACTCTGTGTGTGGAAGTCGAAAGACAATCAAAGTTTCTAGCATGAAGTTGTGTTGAAGTTCTACTAGAAACTTGAAAGCGCAATACAATGGACGTTCATTTACAAAATCGTCCAAAGAAATTTCTACGCTATGGTAGGGAGCGAGTCGAGCGATGCTCCGTCCTGGTAGTGTTTACTGTATATCATGAATACTGTGTTTGGAAAAGCTGAGAAGAGGCAGAAGATGTGGAGAAAACCTGATGGAACGAAACTTACAAGATAGACTACGTTCTGGCAGACACAAGGCGGGAAGTGTCTGTTACTGGGGAAAACATCATCTGCAGTGATGTTACAACGCTCATACATTCGATGTCGCTCAAGAAGTTCAAGTTAATGAGGTTCGATGACCACTCGCCATATTCGATCCTGAAATTGTAGCAGAGAAGCTTCATCGGCTGAATCTACCTCGCAGTAGACATCAGCGGAGACATCGATGCCATCCAAACTGGCATCTGGTAATCAAGCCATGCAGTACGTCGACCCACAACACACAATCGGTAAAAAGATTCAGAATCTAGATTGATGGGCAACTGTGGGGACGATTGCACTGCGTTGCTTAAGTAAATACGAAAGAAAGTTCCAGAGGACTATGACAAGTGTAGGTGAATGAAGCTAAAAGATGCTGCATTAAAGGATAACCTGAAGGCCGCGTAATAGGGCATCTTCCTTAAAAAGCGGATTCCGGTAGCACTAAAGACGAAGAAAGAACAAGAATCAAATTTCCCTGTCGCAAGAAAGCGATCTATACGAACTTCTGTAACAGCCTCTACTACTCGCAGGTAGAGATGGACCGAAACCTGCCGTACATCGTCCAGAAAACCGAATCTCCCGATATCATCAGGGACGAAATAGAGTCGACGACCAAAAATATCAAGAGTGACAGGTTTCCTGGCAGGGACGGCATGAAACTAGTACATATCATGCCAGGAGGAATGATCCTGTTCCACTCCCTTACCTTTCATGCTGATATAGACATCAAAGTTTTCAGAGCATTACTACGTATTGTTCTGCTACTGCTTCTGGTCCTGCTATTAATACGTGTTACTACAGTTTATTAGAAATCCATTAGCAGTAGCATATATTAATACCAGGGCGACAAACAGTAACAGAACAATATATAATAGTACCCCTGATTGTGGTGCTGTTTTAGGTATTAGTGGCGGTACTAGAATTTGTATCAGTACTATTTGAATCGTTGTATGAACAGTATTGTTGGTTCTCTTGGCATAGTTATATGATGGCATAACTGCTACATAAACCTTCTTCGTACTGGTACTAACTCTATCGACGCTACTATTAATACTCTTATTACAACTAGTAACAATGTTAATGCAGCGGTAGAATTAGCACCTGTGTGATTAAGAATGATAGCGTTTGTATTACGCCTAGTACCATGAGTTGCAGTATGTGTAGTTACTTCTAGCTGTTATTATACTGATTACCGTAGGTACTACAAGTATTAATGAGTAACAGTAACGCCAATTGTGTTGTTTGTATTGTTGTTTCTTTGTATAAGTTGTAATACTGATACAAGCGGTTTTCAAAGTACGCCTCATAGCGATATTAGTACGATTATTATAGTTTTTAACTGTTTCAGTAGCATTAAGCATTGATAGTGCTAGTTATACGGTGCTATTTCAGCAGATCAATGTGTACTTTATGAACCAGTCGTTTTATTCTGTTCATAGCGCATTGCCATAGAGTATTTTTACGTTTCATTTGTTTGGGAGCTGACCTACCACCCTACCACATTATCCATGCACTTTTTATGCTTTTATTCTGGCTAAAATGCTGAGAAGTTTCTTTTCAGTGGTAATTCATATAAATTTCTCTCTTGACTTTACAACTGGTTGATCAGCTGTTTAGATATCTGTCGAAGAAGTACCTGAATGGATGCCACCTTGTTCACACAAAGAACTAAACGAAATCGATATTGCCACTTGGCTGAAAGAGGGGCCGGTAGGCGGATGTTACTTAATTCACGCATTGTTCTATTTCTTTAGTGTTTGACAGATAAAGTTGAAGAACAAGTGGAATTTTGCTCAGAAGACATCGTAAAGGCAATGTTCGAGGCGAAGGTACAGTCTGTTTTATCAGAAAGGACGATTTGAACATTAAAATAAATTTCGCAGTTGCTTGGAGTTTACCTCAGAAATCAGGTACTGAACAAAAATGGGAACTACTTAAGCCACCTGCAGTTTGCGGACGACGTTGTGATTATCTCAAAGTCTCCAGAAAAATTCCAAAGAAGAACCTGATTGCTGAACGATGTCATCATTTAAAACAGGACTGAAAATGAACCTTAAGATGTTTGACAAAATACGTTATCCCGCGACCTGTTTAAGACAACAGACTTATTGTTTAAGAAGTGCAAATATATGTGTATCCGGTACAGCTCATCGCTGTTCAGTGAACCGACTCTGAGAAATCAGCAGAATAGTGAAAATGATATGGGATAGTTTTGGAGGACTTAAATTGTTCTTTTCAGAAAACTGCCTCTGTGCCTCTAATGAAACGTTTTCTCATCGGGTATTCTCCTGTTGCGCTAACCTATGAATGTGAAACTTAGATATTAGAACTGAAAGAATTTAAGAGAAGGTACGGCTGATAAAAAGACCTCCAAATCCATGGCAGAATGAGCTGGAGAAATATTTTGGATCAAGATGAATAAAAACTACACAAGCAGTTTATGACAGTGGCTTGCAGGGCCTTCATCTAGCTTTCTTATACAGTCGTAATAATCATAAGAAAGAACAAAAGCATTAAAAGAAACTTATTATCAGATTTTCGGGTAATAACCACAATATCCTTTATGAGTGTATGTACTCTAAGTTAAGCATGCCCTTCGCTTGTTGATTGCGCAAGTAGCAGCTCTTTCGCCATC